TGGAAGGGCACCTCAGGGTGACGACAGGGATGCTCCCAGTGTGGTGTCCGCAGTCATACCCCGGGCCACTTAAAGCAAGGCTTCTTCCAAATCAGTGGGGAGCGATAAACACCTCTGGAGCGGGGAATCTCCCCGCCAGTCTTAGGCACTGATTGCAGAGGAATCTTTCTCCAGCTGTGCCTTGTCTCTCCCCCCGGGCTGCAGAGGGATGCCAGCCGACCGCGTTAGAGAAGGCAGCAACTTCTGGAAGGATTAATTTAGATGAAGCCAACCCCCTCCTGAGAGCAGAAGCTTGCATAGCTGTTGTCTGGTCCTTATGTTCTAGTAATGTCCTTCTCCCCTCTCTGTCTGAAGAGCGCTGGCTTTCCTACCCCTTCTTGGTGTCTGCTCAAAGACTTTCCTGGTGCTGGGCAGCTGCTTGAAACACCGCCCAGCTGAGGGCAAGAAGGGGAGGTGCAAGGCTGGCTGAGAGGAGAGGGAAGGACCCGGCGCCCGGGAGAGTGACACAGGCAAGCGGAACAAGAGTCATTCTCCACAGAAATATTTATTTATCTTAAGTTGGTATGCAAACACAAGGCACAGCTGTTGCCTTTAATTATGGAGACGCTGATTTGGTAACAGTCTCCATTCATAACCCTCGACTGGAGTATTTTACAACCTTTTGCTGTGTTAGTGTCTCATTAAGGATCTTTGAACTTTATTCCAGGGGAAGTGGTTCAGGAGGCAGGATGTTTAATCACAAACACTTTTTCAATTTTAAGCTGAGCAGTATCAGTGCAAATATCCTACTAAGAAAAATTTCAAGTGAGTCCCCAAGGTATTAATATGCAAGTGCAAATGAAACCAGTAATAAGTATCAGACAGACTTTATCTGGGTCTAGAGACTGCACTTGCAGTAAATAACAGATTGGATAAAATTATCTACAGTTCAAAGAACAGTTTCTCTAGAATGAAACAAAACCCCAATAAAATAATCAGACCATAGAATGACATAATGTGTGCTGCTGAATTGCCAAGTGTTTTAGTCAGGATTTTAAGGCCTGAGCATTTATGATAATCAGCTCCATTAGAGCTGCTGCTTTAATATTTTTTTAAAAAGCAACAAAGGAGTTGTTCCGGTCTACCAGGCACCTGACATGGATTGCTTATATACAGTCATAAATGTTTTATTTAAAAGCACGTGTGAAAAACCTCCGTGCATTAAAATAAAAGTTGATGAGGAACTAGAAGGTGCCTGCACAGGGGAAGGCTTAGCCAAGCAGGGGCGTGACTTTTGGGGAAGCCAGATCTAGGAGCATCACTCAGGGATGGTTCTTTTTTAGGGCTGGCACAGCCTCAGCACTGGCTAGTGCCTTCAGCTTTTTTGGCAGACCCCAGCTTGCCTCTGCCCTGCGCCTTGCAGCGGTGCACCTTGGTGCAAGGAAACAGCCTGAGACCCTCCGTTTGTCACAAACGGGGAGCAGGAGTGCCTGTGGCAGCTGAGCAGTTTCCCACAGGGATGGAGCAATGGGACTTTTAAGTATCACCCCCTCAATCCTCCCTGCCCCCCCCGCCGTGCCTCTGTGGGGGTGGGGAACCGCCTTGCCTTCCTGTCCCACTGCTTTGCCCCCTTCACATGCCCCGCTCTGAGGGCACTGGTTTCATCGAGATTGACAGATAAAGCCTCTCTTTCCTTATAAAACCTCTTTGCCTAAATTAAGGATGATGTTGCGCTGAAAAAGGCAAGAAAAAAGGAATCTTGTAGAGGAACTGGGACCCAATGCAGAGTGCAGAAGACAAATCTGCTGCCAAACGTTTCTTGGTACTGGCCAAGTTCTTGCAAACCCTGACAAAATAAGCATATGACAACGTGCGTACGGTTCAGTTTGTGAAAGGGAGGAGGGCTCTGGTTCTGCCCATGTTCATATCCGTCAGCAGCTTGCATCTGTGGAGTGCTGGTGAAACTACCGACAGCGGTAAAATGCCTTTCCTGGGTGGGAACTGGACCTTTTTGTAGCCAGATCGCCTTTGTTATCTGCTGGGAAATCTTCGTGCATTATTTTCTCCCCGCTCTCCCACAGAAGGCTGCACAGCCACTCCAGCAATCTCTGCTGGCTTTCCCACAGCTCTTCTTCACCCTACCTCCACCTGCTAATGCTCTACGGGGGACCCTGACAGGGGCCGGGGGATGAAGTTGTTCTTTGTCATATTCCAAGTCCGAGCTAAAATGAGCCCGCAGACCCTGGTGTGGCTCAGGTACCAGCCCTCTGTGGCGGGTAGGGAGGAGGTGGAGAGCTTTCCCCTCTCTCCAGGCAGGCAGCCTTGCCCCCCGTTCCCCTCCAGACCCCCCCGGACCGGAGCCCGTCCCCATCCATGCATTACTGGCAAGGTTTTACTGGCGAGACCCGTGTCACTGACATGCAAGGCATAAAGTCTGCAGACAGGCCCACGGGGGGGGGCGAGAGAAAACGCCTTCGAGGCGTGATTCAGCAGGCTGTAGGGGCTGATAACCCCTAACCTCAAGTGCCGGTTGCCTGCGAAGGGAGGCTGTGGGGATGGGGTGCGAGAGGCAGGGGTCAGACCCCACGGGGCTGGGGTGGCCACGGGCACCCACCAAAGCAGCCAGCCCAGCCTGGGGGCAGGGACTGCGGGGGACCTGGCTCGCCTTCCCGGGGTGGTGGGGGGGCACCGGTGTGCACGGGGCGTGATGCTGCTGCCCTTTCCTCATTCCTAACTCTTGCTGCTCACTTTGGGACCGGATTTTCTGTATTCACCTCTCCAAGGGACGCCTTCGCTCACCCCCCCCGGGTGCAGAGAGCGGTGCATTTTGCCGCTGCGGGCACAGCCAGGCACTCCCGTGGGGGCTAACCCCAGCGCTTCGAGTCTGGATGCAAGTCAGGTCCTGAACCTGGGTCCGCCCCAGATGTTCAGAACAAGTCCCAGCATTCGCTCCAGGTGGTTGGATTAAATTACTGGATAATTTAATAGGAGTGCTAAATCCTTAGGGTAACAAGTCTGGCGCAGCTTTATCCTGCAATACTTTTACAGCAAGTTTAGAGTTCCTAAGGGCAGTTATTCCCGTGCCGCTGTAACAAAATTTCTGTTCCTTGTGGGTATTACAGGGCAGAATATTCAGTATTTCTTCCAGGTTGGTCTCTGGGTTTGTGTATTTCAGCAAGTTATTGTAAGGAGTTGATTTACCAGGAAGCCTGTTGGCTGGGTGATAGTGTGACCTGAGCATCTGAGGACGAACAAGCAAGCATAGAGTCTTGGGACTGGGAGAAACAGTGTCCTGCCTGTGGTGAAGGATGAAGCATTTGGGCAAATGAACCTTAATTTTCTCTGAGATGAAAGAAAAAAACCCTACTTTGAAACACCCTTCCTGTAGAAGGATGATAGAGAGAATTTCTGATGCAGCTTCCTTTTCCTTCCCTGCCAGCAGCTTCATTTAGATGGCTGCTCCTGCCATAGCTGTCTGTTCTAATGATTAGGCACTTACAGGCTAAGTAGTGCAAATTTTTACATTTAAGACTTCTAATGCATCCAGAAATGTAATGGAAAAGTTAGCTTTTTAATGTCTTATCTCATGTAGAAGTGGAGAAAACCTGAAATGAATTCATCAACTGTAATGTTATGGTTTAGCATAGCTCAGATGAACCATCCATCTCTGACCATATGTAAAATGCTTGGGTGTCCCAGGACAACTCGAGTCCCCACACCCTGCCGGTTCTCATGAGCTGAAGAAATACATTAAATTGAGTGTTTCACTGATATTTGTGGCATACGTACTTCTATGCATCAAGCTCTGTGCGAGTATGTGGGTGATGCCACTCATTGATTCATAAAGATGAGCTAAAACAAGTGTTCTCCGGTTATCAGTCTTACCCCTAGTAACCCCCAGCTGCTCATCTCTTGTTACGTAGAATCAGTGAAGCTCATTCCTTTTTCTGTATATTCTTTTCATGTCTGTAACTGTGGAAACTTACTTTTTTAAAGGGGTTTGTTTCTTACACCCATAAGAGAGCACAGTGAGGTTGTGTGAGATCTGCTACATATTTACGTGTTCAAAAACCTTAATTTGAAGAGAACCATGTAGTCCTGTGTATTTACTTTTGCACAGGGTTGCATCCTAATATTTTACCCAAGCTATGTCCTGAAGTGAGCACTGCCCTCAAGGCAGGGATAGGTGCAACTTGATCAGTTTGATCTACAAATCAAAGACGTTTTGTGCAAGGAGGTGTTATGTGCAAAGCACTTTTTTTTTTTTTAGAGATGATGGATGTTCTTTCACTGTCTATCAATTCATTAACAGTATAGTCAGAACTGAAACAAAATGGGTAGATGCTCTCTTTAAAAATACAGAGGAGCTGTTAGCAATGAGGTGGGTGTTTTATAATGCTCTCCTATTTATTTCCAGCATCAAGCATGACCACTGCTCAGAAATCTGCATATCTTTATGCCCTACTATGACATGACGTCAAAGCATCATCATTTCTAGAAATTTAAGAGAACAACTAAGTCTTGGAGAGAGGCTTGCTTCATGTGTGTTTGTCTTGCTTAGAGAATTAGATGGGTTATTTGCCTCATGCAGTGAGGGCCAGATCTTCCCTCTGCAACTGTCTGCTTCAGTGGGAGTCTTGCCTGAGGAAGGGCTTCTAAGTTTTTCTGGTCAGAAGGAAGTTATTCCTTTTATTGGATCAGAAAAGCATGCAGTTCTGTGTGCAGCAATTAAATATCACTCTCACCGTGCGAGAGACAAACCATCACTTTAGATTAGTTCTCTTTTAGATGGTTTTCACTTTTCCATTAGAGTAATTTAACCTTATCCCTGCCTGAGAATCCTGATTTGCTCTGCACCAGGAGAGTGGATGCGTGTGTGCTTGCTAAATACGTGTCATATGCTATCCTGCCAGAGAGCATTAGTGAGCGATGCTTTTATATAGACTGAAGGCCTCATTTTGCTATCAAAAGGCAAGACGTGTGTATGTAGGAGGAGGGAAAAGATATATGAATGACAAAAATTTTGTATCTCTGAAACGTGGTTTTACAGCTGTCAGAGTACATGCAGTGTTTGCAGCCTATTATTGCCATATATGAAATGATTCCACAGCCTGAGGAAGAACAGATTTGAGCTGCAGAAAAGGCTCCCACATTTGTATTCATGCTCTGTCTGCACCAGCGCTGCACTTCAGAGAGCAGAGGAATTCAGGAGAACGGCTAGAAGAGGATGAACACAGCTCCCCAGCAAGTTGAGGAAACGAGGTGAATGGTGCCTGTCGAATTAACCAGGCCCAAACTAACTTAGGCTTGAGGAAAACGTCTGGGTGTATTGCTCTGGATTTTGAAGGCCTTCTAAGGGAAACTGGACGCTGTCCCACTGGTCTCGTTGTAGATCCTGACACCTGCAATGTCCGTTTTTCCCTTGTCTGATATGCACATGGGGCTGAGACTGGAAAAAAGAAGAGGCGTGAGTTTCAAACAAAGGGATTTTTTGTCTGACAGCTCTCGTGTCTAAAGAAGGGTAGTCGTTACCAAGTGTCTTGAAAAACCTGGTGATATTCTCATCAGCTGTTCACCTGCAGACACCCCTACATGTAAGGTCCTAGTGGACTCGTGTTTCTTGCTTTCTGTTTTAAGTCGCCACATACGAATCTTGGAATTTTAGATTTCAGACTCACAGTTCCCGTTGTGATGCTTTGTTATGAACTAAAGGTCATCCCATCAATGACTTAGACTTGAAAATAATCTCTCTGCTTTGAGAACACTTCTGGTTCTACTGGTTTTCCCATTTCGTGGCAGAACGATCTCGTTACAGCTGGAGTTGATGATAAGCCACAACAAGTCTCTCTCAAACCAGTGGACACCTTCTGCACAGGAGAAAGAAGAAACCCTCTGGAAGCATAACTGCTTTAATTCAGTAAGTGCTAACCTCACATTGCATATGTTGACAGTTTCTGACCGCTTTTGAGGGCCAAGAAATCAATTGCTACAGAAAATTGTTGACAATTTAAGCTAATGAATAAATTTAGGGTCATGATCCTGTCAACTGCACTACTTGGGGAATGAATTTTACTGAATGCATCATTTTCTCAGCTTCGCTGAAGAAGTGACATAGAAGTTGGATTGCATTCCATCACCAGAAGAGAAGAGAAACACAGGCTACATGAAACCACAATCACTGGTGTCAGAGACCTGGAAAAGTTTCACCCCGACCTCTCAGTAGGTTTCTAGTAAAAGAAAATGTGAAAGAGAAGAGTAGGCAACGACCGCATCAGCCTAATAAAAAGCAGTACTTGCCAAGCACCAGGGTTTCATTTCAGTAGGGAATCTGCCCCAAACGCCGTCCCATCTACACACAAAAGATCCTCCCTTGAGTCAAATTCTGCTTCAGCCTACGCAGCATGCAAGGCTGTCCGGGAGAGCCCACGACAGCCAGCCACCGGTCTTGCAGCTAACCCAGCTGCCCTGCCGTTGGGCCCGTGGGAACCTGCACTGACTTGGCAGTGTGCATGTTCCCTTCCCTCTCACCTGGTCCCACTTAGGTGTAATGAAGATGTACTGTAGAGCAGAAGTTTTCTATCTGTGGTCAAGGTGTCTCTGGGAACCTGCAACCTGCTTCTCAGGGATCTGTCAAAGCAGACTAAGCCAGCATACTGTGAGGATTCTTGCATTCGATTTACAAGGCTCTGAAACCTCTCACGTGAAAACATTTGAGTGTCCACAAATCAAGCTTGAAAACTTTCATCATAAATAAATGACCATCTTCATGCCCTTGTACTCCCTCAGTCATCTGTAGTGGCCTCCTCAGCAACTCCTTCTGCTCCATATTTTCTTTAGCCTAGAACAGCTTGAGCTCAGACTCAGGGTGGAGTGCACGCATTGCACATCAGGATCACAGCAAGAGGCAGAAATGGACAAAACCCCATGTCTGTCTGTGGAAAAATAAACGACACATCTACATGGAGGCAGAGAATCCAGGTCGAACAAATCAATCTTTTTCCCAAACAGTCTTGAAATCTGACAAAATATAATGCATACAACAAAGATAAAATCAAATACTTTCGTTCTTCTTGGTGTAGCTGCCTGTGTTTCTGCAATTCAGACTTACCATCCAAAGTACAGAAAGTTGGTGTTGGTTCTCCAGCATCATAATTGCTAGTGCTTTCCACATTCCCTTGCAGTAGCCAGCTGAAAACCATCTACCTGGGGCCTTCTAACAAAGACTCCAGGTATTTTATTGTAGCCTACAAGGCTTTTATTAAAAAGCATTCCTTCAAACTGATTTCCACCGTGGGGTTTTTTACCTTGCAGAGTGTAGGTTTGCTTGTTTTTCTGGGAGAGGATATTTCCAGCTACTGATAATTGCTAAGCATTTCCAGGCAGCTGCAGTATCTGGCTACAGAGGCCACTGACTTCTGGGTTGGGGATGCCTCCTGTTTTATATACGTGTACATACATATGTATGTATATATGAATATTTCAACAGTGTGAGAATGTGGTCTGATGATGTGTTAAAACTCAAACACATCTAGTACTCAGTGAAAAACGCATTGAACCTACAATACAAAATGCCAGTTGCGTATAAACTCCTTCTGCCAGTTCCAAATGTGTTCAAAACGTTGGGATGGATTAACTTTCTGTCAGTAGACATTACACTGGATCAGTATTGCCTGTCCAAATCCAAACATCCACAGTTATTGCAACAGCTTCTGCCTTTCTTTCTTGTTGCCACCCAGGATTATGCCCGCCCGTTGTTGCAGGTTTTGTGCCATGTGCTTCCACTTTCTTTTTTGCTGTTTTGCTCTTTGCATCCACTGGGCTTTCATCAGCTACAGCTGCATGCACTGAATCTTGCTGTGCAGATGATGTCTGAAATGTGCCTTTCCTTGGTTGCCTTTCTTTGAATGAGACCCCCTGTCTTATATTAGACTTCTGCACCACTGGAAGACTTTGGATTTTCCAAAGTACCTGGTGCAACAGCACCTTGTTGCCAATGCAAACCATCCCACCCCATATTATAGAACATTCTTGTCTTCCTGATCCAGTCTTGCCCAGTGGAGTCCAGGCTGGATAGAGATAGAGGTATTAGTATTAGTCCTGCCAGGGCTCTGGGTAGGAAGGCTGCTTTGCAGCAAGATGCCACTTTCTGAACCCTTGTTTCAGAGATGCTTCAGCAGGGGTAGGGAGGGAATAGCACAAAGACAAGTCCAGCTCTCCTTAGAGGACCTACAAGAGTGCTGGGGTTGTCAGTGGCCAGTCTGGCATCAGAGGAAGGAAAGCTTGCCTGTACTACAGAAAGCCTGGCTGCAGCCTGAAAGATGAGGACGGGTTGGTTCCTGAGCACAGGGGTGGCTCAGAACAGAGCTGGTCCACCTGATCCCCCAAAAAGGGGAAATCCAAGAATAAGGACCAGAGCCTTGAGGAAGAGAGGGCCCTTGAGGAGAATGGTTGGGTGTCTCCCTAGTTCCCAGGTGTCCACAGGAAGGTCCTAAAACTGAGGACAGAGCCACCAGCCCGGGTGAGAGGCTCGTTTCCCATGTTTTCTCCACCCTCTTTTGAACACTTTAAGTACAGTGCAGCACTGATAACTCTGCTACTTCTTCATCTGCTCCTGTCTACAGCTTCTGGTCTCTGACCAGAGCCAGGACGTTCACAACAGTGCTCTTCTGCCCCAAAACAGGTACACCTGTACCTTCTTACCTGTCTGGAGGGATTTCCCAGGCCCATTCCAGCTGCTGGTCCCCGACATCTCCTGGGAAAGTCCGTTTGGCCCTCTAGCCTCAGGTTCCCGGGAAATCCAGCTGCTCCCTGGTCCCAGAGATGTTCCTTTGCCTGGTGTTGCGAGAGGCACATAGCAGCAATTAAAACACCTACATATATACAGACAAACAGGCGTGTGTCTCTTGTACATACAGCCACAGCAACGACGATGGTTTGACCAGAAAAAGGCTTTGGTGAAGTGAAACTAGCCTGGGCCTCTACTTAACCCTCTTAATCCTTCACGTATCACCGGTCACACCGTTGCACAGGAGCTCAGCACAGTGCCGTGTTGCTGCCTGTGCTGGCCTGGAGGCGGACGGGCTTCCCTGCTAAGTTCTTCTCCTGCCCCGTTGTCCAGAGCCTTGGTCCCAGGAGAGCCGGTCTGGAGACCAGCTCTGCCCGTGCTGGGGCCCCGACTGGCCCCAAGCATCCCGGGGCGGCCGGTGCGTGTCGCCTGTCTGTCTCCCACACGTACCCACAGCTGGTGAACCAGAGGCACGGTGCAGTGGGACCTTTGCAGAAAGGCAGCTGCCCGCAGAGCTAGCCCAGGCGACAGAGATACGCTAGCAGAGATCATCCTAAAATAGCCCAGGGGAGGCACACAGCTGGGGGCAGGATGGTGACTGCTTTAGTTTTCTCGCTTGAGGAGAACAGAAACCTGTGGCTGAAACCAGACAGCAAGGTCCAGGTGTGCACGGCGTCCTGGAGGCCGGCTGCTGTGTGGTGGCCCCGCGGCCACTTTACTGGGGGAAGCGGGAGCTGCCTGGCTGGCCATGGGGACCATGCTCTGCCCGAGTGCTATTCTCAGCTCGGAGCAGAGGTTTCTGCTCTTGCTGCTGTACGCCACGCTCGCGAAGTGGGGTGGGCATTGGCAGATGCTCCAGGTGGTGGAGGCATGGGGAAGTCAGCCCCTGTCTCTTCAGCACCTGATATCCCTCACACCTTTAATCGTTCTCTCCAGTCACAGAAGGAGTTCTACTCCTAGCTGCTAAGCTGTCCCCCTCCTTTCTCCCCCACTGCTCTCTGTTCCCCGTGTTTTCCAGGTGCAAAGTGCTTTCTTTTTTTTCATTTTTTTTTTTTCCTGTGGTTTGCACTTACTTTTCATTAAATCCTGCTTGTACTTAAACAGTGTTGAGATGATTATTTCCAAGGATGAGATATCAAGGATTGCAGAGGGCCTGGAACAAAAGAAGGTGCATCTGAACATAGCAAGAAAGGCAGGATATGCAGAAAGACTGTTATTGCTTCCTTCTCGTTCCTGCACAGTTCAGAGTTATAAGCAACAGCCCCAGTGAACGTCCCTTAAAGTAATTAGCCAGAGCTTCCCCAGACCTCGGTGGTACTTGCTGGTACAGAGACAGTTGGTCCCATCTGCTGAAATCCCACTGGCTGTCTTCTTCCCCTGGTGTCTTAGATATTGCTGAGGGGTGTTGTCCAGGTGAAGGGGATCCAGGTGAGGCAGTGGGGATTCAGGTCCTCTCTGACCCTCCGTCTCATCCGATGATCAAGTACACGCTCAGAACCAGACAGGCACCCCAAAAGTCCTTGGAAGAGGAAGAGCTCTGGCAGTGTATGAGGTTGCAGGGGAGGAGGCTAGGTGCAGCGTGGGACAGCAAGTGGCCCAGCTCTGCCTTACGCTGCTGTAAAATGACAAGGTTGCATCCTCTTGCTGATTTGGCTGCGACCTCGTGCAAACCAGCCACATCAGTGCAGCCTGAGCCAGCTCTGCTGAGCGATCCAGCAACGTACAGCTCTGGCACTAGGGCTGCTGGGGCCTGAGACATGGGACCTGCAGAATCAGGTCCGCGATTTATTGGAGTTTTGTCTGTGTGGGATGCCTGAATGGTAATATGAACATCACTTTTTTTCCTTTCAAAAATAGAAGGATTTTTCCCCAGTTGCATCCCTTACCATTCTGCTGTCTAAGTGTTAAATGTGCTTCTTATTTGTTATTGAATGGAATGATGCTGATGTAATTTATCCCTAATTCACAGAAGTTTTCCGGGGTAGACACAGCCCCTTCCTATGTATTTATTACCTAACGGCACAGAAAATTGTGAACAACTACATATCTGAGTATGACACAGCTCATCTGTTTCCTCAGCTTCAGAGGGGTTCATCATCATCCCTAACACTTCCCTGATCCTGAGTTTTAACTTTCGGCCAAGCTCAAAGAAAATACCACGTAAAATCCTTCTCCTACTCACCACTGTTTGCTGCAGCATCAGGTACTACACCAGGAATGTCGGTTGTTTCTCTGTTTCTTGAGGTGGAGCTGGATCACCACCTAGACAGGTCAGTGGGCTTAGGAGGCAGCAGGACCCTGCCTGTGCTTTTCCAAAGAGGAGACTGCTCAGTTACAGGCACAATAACCACCTGTGGCCATTACAGTCCTACAGAAAGGATGGGCAACAGGTTTCATACTATTCATTTCCATATTCCCTTCCTGTGCTCTTTGCCAGCTGATTTCTCTACTTTTTTTTTTTTTTTTTTTTTTTTTTTTTTTTTTTTTTTGCTAATGTTATCTATGTTATCTAATTTTAACATAAATTTATCTTCTTTTCCTGCTGGGTATAGATTAAGTACCGTTTGGAGAAGATATCTCTAGAGTTGTACAGGATAGCTATCATTTATTCCACACCATTCAACACTCTATTGAGCAGGGCATAGGGATTTGTCTTTCCTGTAAGTACTGAAGTTACAAATACTGGAATGAATAGACAAATGGGCTTCTGGTATATGTGACAATCAGTGTCCTGTTCTTTCTGCATTAACGCCTGCCTCCATCTTCCTCAGGTCCCGAATAAACCCTTATTTTTGCTACAGGAATGAAGGAGAAAAGATTTCTAAGACACAGTTATTCCTCTAAGAAGGAGAGGATGAAGCAAGCCTATTGCAAACCATTTTCATCTTGTCTGCATCACTGAAAGGTACAAATAAACCGGAGCTTTGCTCTCCATCACTTGCGTTCCTTTCTCTGGATGACACTGTTCGTTTTTTCAGATCTGTCTGTCCCCTGTAGCAGTTTTTCCTTCCAATTGGGTTATAATTCGAAATGAATGGTTGGGGCAATGGCTTACACTTGGATCATAAGACAGGGCTGTTTAATGGGTCATTCCCAGTAGCTGAGGTAGAAGGCACGTGTAAGGCCCAACTGAAAATGAGATCACCTATCAGCAGTGTATGGTCATAGATGATGTAGTCTGTTCATCGGGTCACAAATCCTGGTCTGTAATTCACTGAAGAGCCCTAAGAAGTTTCAGGAAGATGAAAAAAGTAGAATTATTGAAGAAGTCTTCAAAACACACAAAATGTGTTAAAGGGGATTGTCCTGAACGGAAGTTGAGCTAATGAGTTTAAATTTGGACAATTTGTATTTCAGAGTGACATCTAGTGCTGCGTTGGGACCCCACTGCCTGTCTTGTGAGGTCAACAGGAACCTGTTTTGTGAACCTGTATCCCTGTAGGTCTGTCTGAAGGCTCCAGCTGAACACGGCAGGAGTGCCCCTCATGGGCTGGGGGGGCCGTGCCACAGTCCCATGCACGTCAAGTACACCTCAGCTGAATCCTACCCATTCAGAAATCCCCTGAGTAGTGTTTCTATTGAGAGGAAACAACAAGATGAAGCTCAAGCTCCTATACCTAAAGCTCAATTTCTTACCCTTCAACTCTGACTCAAGAGAAGACACTTAACCACGTGGCTTTTGTGAGGACAAGGGGAAGGAGGAGCTATCCAGGTGGGGGTGTGAAGTATTAGGGGAAAAGAGCCAGGTAAGAACCAGGTAGTGAGGATGGGGATGGTTTGATAGGCATACCAGTAGCTTTCCTGCAACAACATGACATTTTATGAAAATGGAAAAGACCCACCTCTTACGACTCCTTTGCCACCACCCCGCCAGCAATAGGCTAGACCTCACAGATGAAGTGCTGGTAGTGTTCCTCTCCGCCTGCTACATATAGTCCAAAACCACATCTGCACGTTTCTGTTTATGGAATTCTAATATTACACACAAAAAAAGAACAAGTAGAAAAGCAAAAGAAAGATGGACAGAGGACAGGAGTTCAGGTTATTCAATTGAGTGATCCAGGTTTCCAACACAAATCAGAGATATTTGTTGACATTTTGTCCCTCATGCCTCGTCCTTTCTACTCAATCTTCTCCTGGCTATACCTAACAGTTGTCTGTCTAGAGACCTCTTGGGATGTAGTCACATTATTGTTTTGCTATAAAACACCCCTGGGACATAGAATGGGTACTCAAGAGTTGCTTAGGTTGTGGGAAGATTTCTTCAGTTCTTTGGAAATTGAGGAACATCTTACCTAACTGCAGCTATGAGGGACTTTTAACCATGATATCAAGGTTGTAACTACCCATGCAAGAAATCAAAAAATTCAAGCAATCTTGTAGAAACACAAGGAATTGGTGTTGGTCATGTTGCTTTGTGAAACTCTCTTCTCTCTGTCACTCATTACAGAGGGAATCCGGGGACTTATTTCCATGCCTAAAATTAGCTGGAGTAAACTCCCTTTGGAAACCGTGTGACTGATTCAATGCTAAATCAGTTTTTCTGGACTTTATTTGTTTACCTGCTCCAGGACCAAGCCCACTGTTACTGCCTTTGCCCTTTCCCCCCCACAGTATACCCTGCGTGGGGATAGGTGAGCATGTTTTATTCATATCCTGGTGTTATCCTTCTGCCAGTACCATTCCTCCCTTCTGTTTGTTTTTTTTTTTTTTTTTTTTTCTGCCCTCCAGTCCGTGTACAATATCAAGTGCGTCTGCTGATTATTGATTTATGCAGTGCTCCGAGACTACTCTACAGAAGCCTTTTACAAGCAGGGAACACTTAATTTATAACTAAAACACTGGGACCTCTCAGCTGGAACGCAACAGCCCTATAACAGCGCCGGTAACGCAACTCAACAGCTCTCGGAGAGAAACTGAAGAATACCATATCTAATTGAAGCAACAAGGGATTGTTAACTACGGTGGGAAGGATGTAATTGCTTATGCTGGAAACTGGCCAAGACACTGGGGTTAACATTTCTACTCTTACAAAACGCACGCTGGGACCTTTAAATGGCTAACACTAATTATAATTACCCCAAACAACACTGCTTAAACCACCTTGTACTAT